GCCTGGAGTTTGCATGTGTGGGGAGCTCGCCAGCCGGAATGCAGGCGCTGACCTCAATCGCACAAGTGGAAAATCTGAGCCTGTTGGGTTGGAAGGGGCTGGGAGGAATCCTGAAATCCCCCCACCAACGGCTTTCTGGCACACGCCTAGGGAAAGGGGTGATCTCATGGGCCACCAGATGCCGAAGCGAAAATTCCTACCCACAGTGAGAGAAGGCACGGCTGGGCGTGCACACGGGGAAGTGCCCACAAGGTCCCGAGCCTCACAGAGATAGTTTAAGTAAGAGTCTTCTTCTGTAAAGCGAGATACTGAGGACAGTTCTCGGAGGAAAAGAAACTACCCCAAATTCCCCCACTGTCAGTGTGGGGGCCTCCCTGGTGGCCTCCCCCTCCAGGGGGCCACAGGCCTTAAGATTACCCGCAGCTGAAGACTGCAGTTCTCCTGACTTCTCACCTTGACGGGGCAGACACTGTGTTTCTACCGATGTCAGAATCATCACTAAATCTTTCCCGCAAGGAGTCTGAGGGGACTTCCATGCAGGAGGCGTGGGCACAGGCCCTCAAATGTCACAGCACCGTCACACAGTTCAAGTAGGAGGGGTGGCAAGGGGGACTGGGTGGGTGTGGGTGGAGTGATGCTAGGAGGCCTGCCTAAAGAGGTGGCCTCAGTTTGGACATGAAATGCCACATGGGAGTTTCCTGACACCTAGACTGAGGGGGAAACCGAGCTCTGTTTAGGAAGAACTGCTTTCTTGGCTCTGAGCGCTGGGAAGAATTGGTCATGGAAGTTTGCTCCTAAGTGCTGTTTGAGAACATGAGTGTCCTCAGAATTATCATTGTGGCTGCTCCTTATGTCAGCGCTTAGTATATGCCACAGGCGTGGAACCTTGCAGCTCTCAAAGAGGGAGACAGGGGTGATGGGCAGAGGTTGTCCGTGACTCCTGAGTGGCCCCTGGGTAAGATCCCTGGCTCCACTGCTTTCCGTAATAATACCTAGCAAAATTACACTTATCTGGGCCTCAGTGTCCTCATCTGTGAAAGGGGGTGATAACAGCACCTACTTCATAGGGTGGTTGCTGTTTAGTCGCTAAGTTGTGTCCGACTCTTTTGAGACCCCATGCACTGTAGCCTTCCAGGCTTCTCTGTCCATAGGATTTCCCAGGTAAGCATACTGGAGTGGGTTGCCATTTCCTTCTCCAGGGGATCTTCCCAACCCAGGGATCGAACCCACATCTCCTGCATTGCAGGCGGATTCTTTACCACTGAGTCAGTGGTAGTGAAGATTAAAGGCCATTTACATGCTGTGCTTAGACCAATGCCTGACAGACACTATTAAATGTTGACTGTTTTAGTGGGGGGTCTGGGGGGTGGGGCAAGAATCTAGAGATTGGCAAACTGTGGCCCTAGGACAAGATCCCAGCCCACCACCTGTCTGTGCAAATAAAGTTTTATTGGAACCCAGCCACACCCATTCATCTGCACCACATCTGAGGCTGCTTTTGAGCTACAAAGACAGAATGAGTAGCTGTGACAGAGACTGCATGGCCCACACAGCCCCAAATATTTATGAAATATGATGTGTGCCTTCATAGAAAAGATCTGCCACGCTCTGATCTACATGAATGAACGACTGTTCTGGGCCCAATCCTAAGCCTCTCTCCAGCCTGCCTTAGGAGAACCCCATCCTACAGAGTGCCTCTCCAGGGAGGATCTTTCTGGAGCAATAGCTACAGAACAGAATGGATGGGATGCACCGACAGCCCTTCTCGGCAGGCTGAGTGGTCTCAGGGCTTCCGGGGCCATGGGAAAATGGAGGTGGCTCTGAGAGAGCACACCAGTCATCAGTATTCGGGGCTGCAGGGAGCCGGCCTGCAACAGGATGCCCAGAGGCGAGGCTTTTGTTTAGCACATACATTAATAAACACTGTAAGCCACGCCTCCGTTCCACTTCATGAAGCCCCCTCAGTCTCGAGTGCAAGGCAAATCTACTATCAACTGATGAGCAGGTGGTGTCAGAATATATAAGTGATCCTCGAGGCGGAGACTTGGCACGGCGCTTTACTGCTTCTCAGAACCCAAGGAGTAAACAGATTCGACCAAAGGTGGAGTGTCACGGACTCGGGGAAAACTCCAGGCTGCTTTTCCAGGCCTAGCTTCACCATGCCCGGTCAGGAGCCACAGGGGCCAAGCTCAGGTTAACATGTTAGCAATGGCATCTATGGAAGGAGCCAGATTTTAATTATGGAAAATGTATAGGGCATCTGTGAGCTTTCCCATGAGAATAGCATTTTGGTTTAACAGTCACAGATGGTATTTCCTGGACAATAGACATACAACAACGTAAAATTATGCCATTCGGGAAGAGTTTAGCTACCTGGGATTATCTTGTATTTTTTATGTCAACAGATTTTGTTAGCACAGCTCTACTCTCCAACTTCTGGTTGGTGCGTGTCTGACTCTGGGTTGGCAATCAGATGGCAAACAGCAGCGACTGTCTTCCTAAGGCTGGAGCCTTTCTAGAGACAGTACCCAGTCCCTTCACACATCCAGTGGCCATGAGGTGGACAAGCATTGCTGGCTCCACTTTACAAATAGGAGATTGAGGCTCTCACTGCTCACAGGCCTTGGCTACTGGGGTCCCTGGGGCCCCTGGGAGCCATGCAGGTGTTCAGGCAAGGGTGTGGCACCATCAGGAGCCATTCTAGAAAGTCACCTCTGGCAGAGCCTCATTAAGGCTTTACAAGATGTAGTCCAGCACTTGGCACCTATGGCCTCAGCCAAATCTGGCCCACTGCCTGTTTCTGTAAATAGTTTTATCGGAACAGACATGCTTACTTTACCTATTGTCTATGGCCCTTTTTGCCTTGCAAGAGCAGAGGTGAATAGCTGTGAGAGATCGATCACGTGGTCTGTAAAGCCAAAAACATTTACTGTGTTTGCAGACACACTGCCCCAGATGAGAGGCTGGCTCACGGGAACACAGCTTGCACCAGGATCCTCAAGAGGAGCAGGATTTCACAAGCACTTGGGGACACTTTTAAGACTCAGTGATCAACTAAGATTTCTGGCTTGGGCAGCACAGCCAGTCATGCAGTTAAGTGATGGGAGGAGAAAAGACTTGGAGTTTGGTTTTAAGACTCCTGAAGAGTCCACCAAAACCCCTGTTGGCATCTGGAACAAGAGGAAGAAACACGGACCAGGAGCTCCCTCGTCTGTCCCCTCCTCGTACTTTGTATGCTGAGCCACCAGAAGCGCTACCTCCTGCCGCGGCTAGCAGTCAGGATCTGATTCTCAGAGCAGAAATTTGATCTCAGGGATTTTTTTTTGTCATGCTCCCCTCCCCTCTAGCCCCAGGATTCAGAAGCGGCCCTGCACAGCACAGGCAGGAGTCTGTTGTGGGCAGGAGCAGCTTCAGAGTCAGACGTTCCACCAGGAGAGGCGGTTCTGGGGTACCACTGTGACTCCTGCCCGGGAGGAGTTCCCGAGCTCACGTGGGAAGCGAAACATACGGACACATGAAAGATGACAAGCAATGAGCATTATTAACCGAGGCAGCAGAGCCTGTAGGAGCCGAGTGAGGGGAATGGACCACTGGCGGTCATGCTAGGCAAACAAAGGCTGTGTGGACAGTGGGCACTGGGCTTTGAAGAACCGGCAGGACTCTGATGACTTAGAGAGAAGGTGGTCTTCTCGACCGTCTTTCAGGAGGAGACTGTAAATTCTCTAAGCTTTTCCCCTGTCGTTTGAAAACAGGGCACACTCAACACAAGCTGTAGAAAAGCAGCTGGTGGGCAACTGACATTTTTAAAGGTTCCCCTGTGATTCTTAGTGGAGCCAAGATTGAGAACTTTTGGTTTGCACGTGCTGAACTGCTTTAAACCAGTAGCCCAAGTGTAACAGAACACTGAAAAGTTTTCTACTTTCCCTAGTCCAATCTGGTTTAAGAACTGGTTTTGAAGAGATCGCGGTTGCTTAATATTTCCAAGTCAGAAAATGCCAAGTGACCCTGGCAGGGTTCCTAGGAAGCACGCCCTGCAGACGCTCCAGGGTCAGCAGGACAACCTTTAACCTGTCTTCAAGCACCTTCCCTCCCTCCCTCCAATCTCACGAAGGCCCCAACTCTAAAACTGACAATGAGGGCAACTTGAGAAAATCAATTTTGGACCCACTCAACTCTTTATCTCCTTACATCCAGTGACTCTCAATGGTATTAGGTTTGAGTCTAAGAACAGTCAGAACATTCTCCCTCCACGTGGTCAGGAATAGGGAATTCTATGCCAACCCCTTGTCAACTTGATTGCGGAGGAGAAATGGACAAAACAGCTGTTAATAGATTGTCTTTTATTCCCTCAGAGACAAGACCTGAGAGGTAGGTTGGGCTGGGCTGTGAAACTTTATTGCTTAATGAGTTGAAAAGGAGAGAGGAAAGTGAGTTTTAAAAGCCAGGTGTCAGGTCCACAAGCTTCCCAGGTGGTTCAGTGGTAAAGAGGCTGCCTGTAAATGCATGAGATACAGCAGATGCACATTCGATCCCTGGGTCAGGAAGATCCCCTGGAGGAGGAAATGGCAACCCACTGCAGCATTTTTTAGCTGTAAAACTCCTTAGACAGAGGGGCCTGGTGGGCTACACTCCATGGGCCACAGAGCTGGGCATGACTGAGCACAAGAGCGCAGGTCCGTAGGTGATCTTAGCTGTGATTCACCAAAAGCCGGGAGGCGGGCTGGCGAACAGGTGCAGCAGGAGAGAGAAACCACACTGAGTGTAAAAGGACCACCACGCGCTGGAGGACACGGTGCCTTGGCTAACTGCACACACCACACCTGGGCCCCACGGCCCCCCCCACACACAAGGAGTCCGGGACTTGGTCAGGGGTCAGGAGGGGGCTCCCAGGGACCCCACTAGCTAGCTGCCTTCAGCCTGGACGTTCGCTTTCTCATGTGTGTGACGTGGATGACATCTAAGGTGTCTCTCACCAACTCTACTGTCAGATGGCGACTTACCAGACAGAGCTGTCGTCCACCTGTTCACACGCCGGTCTCCCACACTGCACTCTGCACTGCTGAACCCACAGATGACAGGCGGTCCACGCAAATGCAAACATCACCTCTGAGGTAAAACACTGAGATCATCACCTTGGAAATACATTAACTCCATCTAGATAGCTGGCCACCTCTCTGAAGGTTGAACTGCTCTAGAATGATAACCCAGCACCACGAGAAAAGTTATGTGTCTAAAACCAGAAGACTGGAAGTGACCTCAAAGAAGAGGTGTGAAACCTGGCCCCAAACCAAAAAGCCATGGTCTTGAAATGGGCAGAATCTAATGGCAAAATCCTTACTGAGTACTTTTAAAAAATACTATGGGTTTTCGAAAAAGAAAAAAAAAAAACTATGGGTTTTCCATACTTTTCCCCTTTAAAAATTTTTAGAAAACCTCAGAATAATATATAATCCTTCTTTACTGTTCAGCTTTTAGCGACAAAATTATTTAAGAAATCAAATGTAACAACTTAAGGTGGCATAGGCACACCTCAAGAACAGAGGTTTGCAATAAAAAATAAAAAGTCAATAAAAAAAATTTTTCCCCCAAAGTGATAGTGCTGCACACCACAGAATTCTTTAAAAAATAGCAGAGAGGTGGTTCACAGTGTTCTGAACCAGACGTGGCATCAGGCAAACAACCACTCAGCACACAAGTGGCATTTTGTGATCAAATTTATTTTTTGTTTAAATTTCATTTACTTTGTTTTACTGTAATTTACACAAGAGACTGCCAAGTAAACTAGATATTTTACATTCACCACACATTCCCTCAGATCTCCACAGTTGTTAGAAAAACATTAAAATCCATGCGCCGGGCCGTCATTTCCATGTGCGCCCAAGCTCCCAAATGATGCTACAGACGCCAGTGAGTGAAGTTCATTAAAAGAAGGCGAGACTCTTTACTTCACCAGATTAGCAATAATCTTCCTGGCATCAGACACTTTGCAGACAATGATTATGCTCTTGACAAAACCTATCTAACAGCAGTGCCCAGAGAGTAGACGTCGGTTCTGATCCTGAGTACACAGAGGACGCGTGTGGTGAGGGGTCTGCAGCCGAGGGGAACCAGGTGCTGCCACGCAGGACTAACCCTTGGACAGCCGTGTCCAGGCTACTGCGGCCACTTCAGTGGGGACACAGGGCTTCCGCAGGAAACCAGGAGCAGGGAGGGCGGGGCTGTCAGCCAATCAATTACAAATGTGGTATGACCACGGGGCCTGGCATGGGGCAGGAGGGGTGGGAGGTTAAAGAAGATGGCTGGGGCCCCAAGGCTTCAACAACAACATTCTATTTGAGCTCCCAGGACTGACAGGTGAAGAACTAGACTTGGACAGAGAAAGATGATAAAAATCTTACCTAGCTATTGTTCTTAAAAGAAAAGGAAAAAAGAAAGAGGACAAAAGGAGGCCAGCAGCCTCTAGGCTGAGTTTTCCCGATGCGAGTTCAGGGTGTGTTCCAATGACGTCCCAGAAGAGCACACCCCAGTGGGTGCGGGTGCAGCTGCGCTGGCCGCCTAACCATGTGCAGACAGGCCTCGCGCTGCCTCTGAATCTCTTCCTGTCTCAGATGCAGCGTCTCCCCCACCCAAGTATATATTTCAACCCGAAAAGAGCAAAACAGCATCACTATCTATGTTCTACCGTGTTAACTTGTGAGGAATCTAGATCATTTGCATAGTTTCCAAGCTGTAATTTCAGAAAACAGTCATTTTAGAAACAAGACTCCATGGAAGCACTGTACTTCCAGTTTTACTTAACGGCCTACAATCCCATTAATTTCTTCATCAATTTCTGTCTTTGCCTGACAGAAGCCTGAAAAGTCATAGTGTTCTTTTTTTTTTTTAATAAATCAAAGACCGTCATTTCCATTTTTCCTAGACTTGATGTAGAAAAATACTTGAAATTTAAAATACAAAAATTTAATAAAAAATGGAATTCTTTTTAAAAGGATCTTTACCTCAGGGGCAAACAAGTAAAAACTGGCCTGTAACTCTCTTTACTAATAGATATTGTTCAATTTGGCTGTATGATAATGAAAATCCAGAATTAAATACATTCAGAGTTTTGTTCCAGATTCCTTGGAATACCAAAAGATTTTTAATAAATTTTCCTGTGGGATTCTGTTGATTATGGGACTAAAATTAAAGTTTATAAGAGACTGATTTAAAAGAACAAAAAAGTAATAAAAGGCTATATATATATATGTATATATATATACATATATCTTGGTCCACAACTTGCCATTTACGAAACATACCAGCTAGTATTACATTGCAGTCAATTCATCCATTAATGGTATTACTCTGATAATTATTAAAATCTGTTCCAGGTATATATATTGAAAATATTTTCTTTTGCATTCTTGCTGAAGATAGGTACAGTACTTTGGAGAAATTGTACTAATCCCTTCAGTATGTTTGTATGTACATATATACACAAGTGTGTGCACTGGGATCTGTAGCTCTACATGCGTTTTACATACAGCTACAGATTGACACACACAAACATATATACACACGTAGTTGGGACCTGTGCCTGCGGGCACAGAACCACAAGCACACGTCTGGGAAACGTCAACACTGCAAGACATGGTCAGACTCTTCTTCACTCATCGCTGGCTGCACTGGTGCCCCTTACTTGACCTTGATTACGTAACTGTAAGAAAAGCAAAAGACAGTGCAACATGTTAAAATTCAAAGACACAAAACACGTTAGACCGCAGCTTGTCGCAAACATTCTCTAGGGAAAAGATCCTCAGTGTAGCAAAACTGGCTGACAGTGCACACCAACTACTGCATTTTTAACATTTAATCTCTTGACTCAGGTCTTACTAAGAGCATATTTTGTTTCATTAGAGGGAAAATAAATTAGAAGCAGAAATAAATCACAGAAACTCAGGAAGACTTAATGAAAGTAACAATAAATTTAAAAAATGTTTTAAGTGAACACTGAATTTTAAGAAAAGGGCTTTTGGAGGAGCCCTAGTGGAGTTCATCCATTCTTACTGGTACTACTTTACTTCAAGACTGAACATCGCTTGCTCAGTAACTGACGAGCAGGCAGTACATGTCAGGGGGTAGCAAGAAACAGCAGGTGAGAGGGCTGTTGTGTCTTGTTTCCGCAATAACCACCACAGTTCAGTACTAACAAGTGGCAGCAACAGACTGCCTGTTTTTGTTTACCCATCCTGGTCTCAACATGTGGGCTAGATTCTGATGTTCTCTTTTCTCCCCTATAAGAAAATCTCTTTTCTGGGCATGTACATGTGTGTGAATGAAGTAACACCATACAAATATTTCACACTGGAAGTGAAAACCAGTATATTTACACATATTACAGCTAAATGTAAAGATACCCGAAGAGTCAGCATGAGGGAGGACTTCCTGGTGCTAAGAAAAAATCTCAACTCAGGTGAGTTACTGAGACTGGCTCTTATGGCATGGGATGAAGGATCTTTGATTTTGAATGCTTTTACATGTTTCCTTACTAACCACAAAAGGTCCCAGTGAGAAAAAGGTCAATGAACTGGCTATCAATGGGAAATTAGCTGCATGATGAGTGAGTGTACTTGGCAGCTGGATTCTAACGTGCAACACTATGAACTAACTTGGGATTACTATATTCAACCTGCTCCACAGATGAAATTTTTATACAATAATAACTCGTGTTCACTGTCAATGTCTGAAATATATTAAATTCTCTTAAATTCTAAAAATTAAACCACATTTAACACACTGTCTCAATTCAGCAAGTTAACTACCCATTACCAAAAAGGTATTGGTTTTTAAACATTCTTTTTACCCAGGTCTTCACTTACACAGTTTGATATTGTCTCTGACCCTACAGGGGACTCATTTAGACATCAGCAGCCGACGTGCCTCGGACGGAACCCTTCTTACGCATCTAAACGTAAAATAAAATCATGAGCTGCTGAAATCACAGACTCTACATTGGGTTAGTAACTAAAGGGAGACAAAGACCTTGAAGAGATTGTGAAGTGACTGCTACCTGTTTATAAGCATATAACCTCGTTAAAATGAAGTTCTGAGGCCATTCCAGTTACCCTGACCTAAGGAAAATCTTGCAAAAGGCTTTTCTTACACAGCACAAAAAAAATATGTTAATATCTCTTCTTGAAAACAGAAAACAAAAGCCTGCAGACTGATGAAGTGAAATTATCAAAGATCACCAGGGTAAGTGAACTGCTCACCAACACAGTGTGAGAAAATGCCCTGATGGTCTGGTTCACTTTTTCACAGTCCTTGGACCAGAGAGGAAGCCGTGTGGTGTGGCCACCTCTGGCTTCTGAGACCAGTGTCCCTCAGAGGAGTTCTTCACAGGAAGTTAATTAAAGAGCGGGAGGTGAAAGAAGAACGAGAGCGCACAGGGCAAACGCAGGGAGAAGAAACAGGAACACAAGGATGCTTGCAAAGGACAGACATTCCCATCGGCCTACAGGCAGCTTAATGAGGAAATCAGGAAAAGGGTGGACGGAAAGGAACGTATTTCTGAAGCTCAACCCCTCCCACCACCCTCCCCTGCAGGGCCAGGTAAGAACAAGCGTAAGGTTGCCCTAAGTATTCCTTCAGTTGCTGGGCCTAATCTCAGTGTTTCTGTGGGATTACAGGCATGGGCATTCCTCTCATGCCTGACCTCTCGAGATGCTATGCCTTCTCTCCAGGGCCAAAATCCATCTGAAAGAAATCCAATTCTTAAAATATTTGAGAATTAAGAGAATTACAACACATCAAATTCTCCCACCAGGTGTCAGGGAAACGACCTCAAGGAAAGGGGAGATGCCTCCGTGGTGCAGAGGACGTGGAGATGTTAAGTGATCTGGGTAGGCACTACAGGCATGCTGCCGCCCAGACTGAGGAGATGCCAGCAAACCAGCCGTCAGGACTCAGAGCAGCAGCGACGTGATGCGGGATAAAGCATCCCCAGTGACCTCGAGCGAAATAGCCTATGTGGGATTTAACACCAAGATGACCAGCACTTAATCCTGAAATCTGACCTGAAGTATTTCTGAGATACAACAAAGAAACTGCCATGAACTCCCAACCCTGAACCAAGGACAGATTTCTACCAACTTTATGAGGGAATTTGTCAGTTTAGGCCACATGGGTACAATCATGATGCTTTCTGATAAGCTGGGTTTCTGTGTAACTAGCTATCTTACACCTTCTTTTCAAGTGTAATTCCCAACTCACGAGTGACAGGTGTGCATGGAGACACAGCTGGGCCTGCAGGTCTGCCACAGGTGGAAGACAGTCACCACCTCCTGTCAGCACTGCATTCCAGTGTCTGAGACTAAAACGCTGACAGGGAAGCAAGCACTCCCCCTGGAGAAGAGGAGGCCTCAGCCAGCGTCTGTCTGAGGGCTCTGCCCGCTACTCTTTTGCCATCACCACTCTTCTTGTGCTACGAGTTCGGCCTCAGAAATCAAAACCAGAAGAAAGCATCCTTCGTGAGAGTTCAAACCAGTACAAGGAAGTCCATTTTCGGTTTTTTAACTGGTGTTGGCAAATCACTTTTTGGAGATGCCAAGGCTGTACTGTGGATGAGGGTGTAATCCTGGTCTTTCTTTTCAATGTTCAGCTGACACCCGCGGCTCCGAGGGGCTGGAGGCAGAGCTGGCGGCTCTCTGGAGCCTGGTGCATCCAGGAGTGGACCCAGGCAAGGAGCGGGGGAAGAGGCCGAGACTGTGTGGTGGTGAGGGGCGCTGCTTCGAGAAGGGTGTCTGACTCGAGAGAAACAGTGTGACAGATGTGGAACAGAGGCACTGCAGGGAAGGGAGCAAGCACCCATAACATACTCTTGTCTGTTTAAACATCCTGCCTGGGGCCAGCCTCAAAAGTACAGGCAAGGGCCGGTCTTCTGTACTAGCCATCCTATCACCCCGCTCCCAAGACCCAGAACTCAGAGCCACACCATTAAGTGCGAGGAGCTGAGGCTGGAGAGGGCCCTACTGGCTGGCATGCAAACCAAACCCCGATTTATAATGCTGTCACTACGGGGAAAACATGTTCCAAATTTCAAAAACTGAACTAAAAAACTTTGGAACAAAATCCATTCATAAGCTGGAGGCTGCTTAAAGTTTACTTTACATATAAGATAAGGTTAAAACACTTTATTGCCTTATAAAGAAAATATGTGCTAGTCCTCTCAGAAGGTTTGTATAAAGCTAATTAGAAGCAGATCTGCTGTAATCACCAAAAGTAAGCAATTTTAAACACAGATTCTTTACAATGCTATGTGCCAGACAAATAGATTTCGTTCTGTGCCAAAGAACCTGATTTGCTGCCAGTCTCCTGTGATTAAATGGAGTTCCTGCCTCACAGACAGGCATTTGTCAAATACTCCCCTCCTGCCTGTGGGCCTTCCCAAACTGGGACTGCTGGCAGGACTCTGGATGACTGCATGGAAACCACGAGCCTCCACTGGACATTCCTTGCGTTCGTCTTCCCCGTGGGGCCTTACTTTCAACTGAGAAGCACAGCCCAGAGCAAAAGCAAAACCAGACACACGCAAGAGTAGGTGGGGCAGAACCATCCGCTCTGGGAGAAAGGGGGTGCTTGCGAGCTGCAGGGCTGGCTCACAGGTGGGGGGAGGAGCTGGGGTGGGCTGGACTTTCTGGGACGTGGCCCGCGAACCTCTAGCCCAAGGATCACCTGAATTTCTGCCTCAGGTTTGTAAGAAATAAGGAGTCATTACTGGCTATGGGTGGGAGGAGGCACTTCTGGAATCAATGACAGTACCACTAGCTTTTTTATCTTGGCTACAGAAGAGGGAACTAGGACTTACTGTGCTAACATTAATAACCTATTGTGATAATAAGATGACAGAGGCAACTTGGCCTAAGTGAAGTGAATGCCTCAAAGGCCTGTGAACCAGGCGCCATCACAGAGAACCAACACGTGAAAGAGAATACAAAACCACTGGGCATTTTATGGGTAACAAATTTTAGATAAACAAAGTTCTAGTCTACTTGCATAAAGATGCTCAACAAAAGATAAATCAGAATAGAAGGATATTAGTGTCTAAGAAACCAGAGTTTAACAAGGATACAGAGATTAAGAAATGGCTTTCGATAACACTTTTCCTAATTGTAAGCCTAAACTTATTAAGCACGGACACAGTTTTAGAAAAGGGAAATCAGAGAATTTCCACAGAATTGGAAGTCTTACTGTTTCTAGTTCTTTCTGAGTTTCATCTTCCATTCTCCTAATGTCTTCCATTGTCAGATCAATCCACTTGTCAATCCAACAAAAAAGCTGGCGATGAAAGTTTGTAAATATCCTTTTTTCTTGCTTTTAAAACAAAAGAAAAGTATTGTTAAGATGGCAAAACTCTTAACATTAAAAACATATTAACTTTATATGCCCCAGTTAACCCATGAATTTACATATTCTTGGCTTGAAAAGACCACTATTTCAGTTAGTGAAAATCTTAATTACATCCTATTAACATTTTGTAAAGCAAAATAAAAAGAGAAATCTCCCCGAGAAATGTGAAAGAATTCTCCTTGCAAAGGCAGAATGATTTGTTAGAAACTGAAAAAAATGTGGTGGATGTGTTCAGAGCCAACATGAGCTCCTGCCGGACCCAGCTTATTTTTACATTTTTCTAATGTCAATGACCTAAGGTCGATTTGACTTCTGCTACCGAACCATACATTATCATTTCCCCCTGCAATTCAAAGAAATACTGTGAGGCAGAATACAACATGCACTGAAAGAAGAGTCAGGTTCTTTAGAATAAGATGTTTTATTAAATTAAGAATTACTGCATACTCTCCATTAATTTTCCTGCCCTAGTGTTACTAAGTATATATGTATGTGTGTATATACACACATATATATATATAAAATTAGTGACTTTAATGTACATAATTCATGGCTTTAATTGCTGGATTATTTAAGTTTTACTACACTTTCCAAGAAGAGAGAAAAGTGCAGTGAACAGTGAGTACTTTAGTACTTTTGGACAATCTTCAACTTTAAAATTTTTTTTCTATGAACAGAAGGGACCTCATCAATTTTATGTGTAACTTCTTTATCAGAACTGGATTGTTAACCTATTATTCTGATCCAAAAGGAAGAAAGAGAGCCAGTATTTACAGAGTGCCTATTGGGGCCAACTGCAAGCAGGCTTAGGAAATAAGTTTCCAGCACTTTAAGATCCTTTAAAAAAAACTGCAAGCAGGCTTAGGAAATAAGTTTCCAGCACTTTAAGATCCTTTAAAAAAAAAAAAAAAAGAGCAGTTACAGTTTAAAAGTATAAGTTATGGTGAAACTCAGATACAACTAGTTGTGGGAAGTTCCAAGGGCTTCTAAATAATGACAATGGAGACAATTCACAGACATCTATGAATTATTCACCCTACAGGAAAATTAAATACCAAAGAAACTTTCATATTCCTTACAAAATTACAATCATGAGTACCTATGCAACTGCAATTCTCCCATCAAAACACTTGTGTTACTATCTCTTGAATGAAGAAGACATAAAAAACAGGTAATGAGAACCAGGGTCCTCACTCAGATCATGTCACCGCAGGTTCAGTGTAGCCATTCCCAGTGAGGACCTCCGAGAAGGACGTCCCATCAGAAGGTGCGAAGTTCACAGCACCGTCCGGAGAGAGCTGCGGGGGGCTATCCGCCCAGCCGGGACAGAGGAGCCTCAACAGCACTGCCTGGCCTCTCCCCTCAGCCAGCGCCGGGACCCAGGTCCCCCTGGGGACATGCAAAGGGCTCCCCACAGAAGAGCCGAGCAAACCATCAGGAAAGCACTCGGCACAAAACGAATGCTTTGCTCTTCCCCAGAGAAAGCCCCGTAACACCTCCACTGGTATCTGTTTTTGCTGTTTGTAGGGAGAAAAAGGAGGGCAGAGAGGAATTCTGCTGGGACAAGAATCTCACCCAAACGAGAAGGAAAAGGTGGTGGGAGAGACAGCACCCCACTGACGGCCACCTCCAATCTTAACCTACGCTTAAGTCACTGTGTCCTGGGACGGGCTTTACCTTCTGGATGAAGTTTTCCACTTTGCTCTGCAGGCCCCACCACTTGAATTTGATGGTCACCAGCTTATAGGCACACATCTGAGGACAGTCAGGGTTGTTTGCCAGCTCCTTCTGGATGAGGAAAATCGAAAATGGGAAATCATGACTTGAATATTTAAGTCTTGATTAAAACTGACTGCTGTGTAACATCATAGACATCTATGAAGAAAATCACACCGTATGTGTTTAATTCGGGTACCTGGGAATCTGAAATCATTTTAGCAAAAGCAGCAACATTCCCTTGCTGCTGACCCTCCTTCCACAGAGCAGGCTACTTCCTAGTTCTACAATTTAATAGGCACAGCGCTCTGCCTCAAATCACACTAGCCGGATTTCACATTAAGTACCAAATTCTATTCACATTGTGTCAACAGCACGCCTTTAACATGTGGAGGTTTTCATAACGCCATTACTGCACTCACACCATGGATGTGCTGGGGTCTCATCCATTTTATTGGGCCGCAGTAAGAAAACCATGAGGAAGCTTCATCGTCGTCTTGTCTTCTAGCACTGGCAAGTGCAGGGGCACTGCTATTAATTGAGGTATTTTCCAACCAAATGAGGGGACATGAAGAGGTATGTAGCAGCAAACATCATCTATCATTACCAAGTATTTGGAAGCAAATTCCACACATTAGGACTTTAATTTCCACAAATAATTATACCTCATAGTTTAAATGTAGTCAAGAGTTAGGGTAAGAAAGGGAAAATAATGAGAGGAAAAAAAAAGCAAGGGAGAGAGGGTGGGGGACTGTCTGGATTGGAAAAACAAAATGTTTATAATTTACTTTCATAAGAAAACAAAAATGCAATTAGAATTTGGATCCTCAAAACACGTTACCCTAGGTCCAGAGTATGAAAACTGAACTGTGGATTTTTAGGTTCAGAAATAAGAAAAGAAAAAACACTGGAGTGGAGGGGAGAGAAAGAAGGGAAAAAACAAACACAACAAAGTGTTAACAATTGTCAGATCTGGGTGGAGGCGTTTCCAGTTCTATGCTTTTGGTTTCTTGACTGCTTCTGAAAATTTTCATTATAAAAATTGGGGGGGGTGGGCGTTGCAATCCGCAGTACTGCTGATGATCTCTGTGAAACTGAGTGCAGGCGGCCGTCCTGGCACAATACACGAGCATGTTTACCTGGGGGAGGGCGTGGGCCAGGAGCTCGCCGCACACCTGTGTCCTCACCATGGACGCACTGTGCATCACGGTTCTCCCAAGGCGGTGAGTGCAGGAGACACACTGCCTGCCTGCCTGTCAGGTAATGTCTGACAGGAGGGCTCCTGCGTGCGGTCTCTCATGAGTCCTTTGTCCCTCTTCAAGCGGAACAGCACGCTGCTCCCAGGCACTGAGGTCACTGTGTGAGGCAAGCTTGGTCTCCTTTCGTAAACATTCTCTTTAGGACAAAACTGCTTAGTCTTGCTCCCCTTTCTTGAGATACGGATTGTCTCCTGACCTTGTGACTAACATTACCCCTTGTTCCCTTGGTAACGGTTGCTGTACATTTGGTTTTCTGATCTCTATCATTCCCGAAAGAAGTTTCTTGTACCACAGCCTATATATACTCATAGGAAAATCATTAAAGCACCTTTGCTCCATCAGAGCTTAGGTCCCTGGGGTTTTTTTTTTTGTTTCTCTCTCTCTCTTTTTGGCTGATTCTCTGGAGCATGGAGACCCGTCATGCTCACTTTCCTGCCCGGGCTTCTAAGACTCTCTCGAGAAGGTCTTTGTGCCTTCACCCCCTCGAGAGGGCGCCTGGTGCCTTCGTGAGCGATGCAAGTCCTGTGTCAAGGGCTTTATTGGTCCTCTGAGTAAACCAGGGAATATCAGCCTCTTTCCCTCTTTTACTTTCTTATTGTCAACTCCGTACCACCAGGTTCCGGTCCATTAAAGGACCCCAACACCTGCCAGAGCAGAGAGCCTGGGAGGGGCCCACAGCAGTGAGCAAAGGCGGCCGCGGTCCAGCCCGGAAGGCAGGTCGGGCTCAAAGAGTCCCAGGTGGCAGAGGGGAGCACCGCAGGCAGGGGGGAGGGAAAGGGCCGCCCTGACTCCCGGCTCAGTCCTGGTGTACTTCCAAGAGCAGAGCCGTGTCTCAGGACTGTCGTCAGGACTAAATAAGGCAGGGTATGTACGATCCGTGCTTAGCTGGTGGGACTCAGCTGAGCACGCGCTAGTTCTCTCTATTCTTACACAGAGCTCAAAGAGTAACTTGGATATGCAAAACAGCTTTTCAAGAAAGTTTCTCAAAAGAGCAGTTATGGGGGCCCTTTTGATAAAAACTGAAGTATGGAGTGAAAAGGTAACGCGCCTTTTACAAGAGCTCTCCCTTCTCCCTCACGGTTCTCGGTGTCACCCAGCGCTCGGGACACCTCGGCCCTGGCTGCAGCCACACCAGGCGCCACTGCCACGTGCTGTCGCCTCCCACTCACACGCTCACCCCACTGGCAGTAACTTCACTGTGTGTGAGCGAGTATTATTTCCAGCCAGCCATAGGTACATACATTTTTTAAATGATGAATTTCTGGGTCTTATTCTAAAGCCTCAAGATTATTCCTCATTTATGCAATCATAGCAACCAGGCCACATTTCACTCCCCCCACCACCCCCTGCAAACCCTCAATAATGTTCCAGTTTCAAGTGAATTCTATGATACATGAAAAAAATTTTACTTTGGTATTATTAATAGGACCCAAAAGTTCTGTAGAGTCCTGCATGATTGATCATCTTTTCTCAGAAAACGTCTTCTGTAATAACATTTCACCTTCTGAATAATGACCAGGTACATGGATTAAATCAATGAGGTAGCACCACAGCACTTAAATACAAACATTACGTACAGCAAACTGTCCTTTCGTGAGTTCTATGTCAACAAAGGGACTTGACTAGCTTCTAGCTCTGTTTTTCCAATTTTCTTCCCATAAAACAGAGTACAATGTTAAAATTCAGCATGGATGGGTACATGTGTGTGTGCACATGCACAGACCCCCTTAATTTATAAACAAGTTTAATTCAGCAAGTATTAATTGGGCATCACTTACAACCCAATCTGTGCTAGGTGTTATCAGGGCACACGAGTGGCTGGTAGACAAGAAAGTAACTATGCATAAAAACAATGATGAAACCACTACCCTTGGTACCAACAATCTCTACCAGAAGGGACACCTTCTACTGTGGATGCTGCAACCTTGGACTCCCATATCTGACCTGCAGGCCCTGCACTTAATTAAGCTGGGCTCTGGGGTCTACAAGTCAGTCCACAGCCTTCCCCAGTGGACAGCAAGCTTCTCAGGGCCCAGCCTCGTTGAAACATCAGTAAGAAGGCTGGTCGTTTACAGATCGTTTTTTCAGTAAGCAATGAGCCAGTGTGGAGGTGTGCTCTAATCCAATGAGGGTCAACGACATCTCTCACATGAGATGCATCTGGGTGTATGCAGAATAAGGCATTTAACACTGTGAGGAGCGCCTGCCAAACAGCAGTGGTAGACTAGGAGTAAAGGGCTTGGGTCGCAAAGTAACCTATGTAATAATGTAGTCAGGGTTCTTTCCCTCCCCCGGCCAGTAGAAGCAAATGCTGGGCTCCACTTGACCTATTTATCCCCCACTGACGTGCCACTGAAAGCAGGGGTGTGAGCTGGGTGTGACGGGTGGGGTTGGCCCAGGGCTGTAGGGGCTAGGCTCATGTCCCTGACGTCCAATGGCTCGTCTTAAAACTTGCTATAGTTTTGCATTTTATTCTATAATATGCCCAAGCTTAACAAAATATCCCCCTGCCGACCAACTCTGGCTGAAACGTCCTTTCAGTGGAGAACCTCTGATATACCCACTGATTAGCCCTAAGACACCTTCCAGGAATGGAACATTCCAAGGTCCTTATTAATTATGGGCTACTGAGAGCTTCGTTCTCAAACTCCAAATCACTGGACAGCCTATGCTGGGTGAGAACCCTGGGTGTTTCTAGAACACCAGCTCTTCAGAATCCATGCCACCCACCCCCCCATTTTATAAAGACAGCAGGATGAGCACGGTTCTAATTAAAGAGCAAGCTAAATTTAATACATACATGCCTACACTAAGCTGGGCCTCCAAGAACAGAGCACACACACGTGACTCCAACAATCACCCGAGTTTGTGTCTCACATCTTCCTAGTGACTTTGGCAGGCTGCTCAAATCATTTAAAACGACTACTGGTAATTGACAAAATCTATTGGTCTACAGAATTTAGTTTAGAAACTGTAAGTGATGGGACAAAAGGGAACCAGTTCTCTGAGCTATCTTCTGTGGATGTAAAATGTATAGTCAATCTGCTTTTGGTTTTCTGTCTAACATAATTAATTTAAAAAGTTCAGGGAAGAATATGGAAATCAATTAAAAGATAAATAAGTGAACAAACAGCCTGCTGCCTTTATTTCTTGGCCTAACTCTCCACAATATCAACAAACAAGGGGGAGGCACAGAGATGACATATAGAAACATAATCTTAAAGAGCCTTGGAGAAAGATGAGAACACAGAAGTTATATATTTTCAGTTATTATTAATACTGTATTAATATTACATTATTAACATCTGTCATATTTGAGCTCTCATCCAATCTAAAGATGACTTATGCAATTCACCTCTTCATCTGTGCTATGGTCTTAAAACTAGTGACAAAAAAAAGAAAATAACTTAAGAAAAGTCTCTATTACTTTAATGATGACAGAAAATAATGAACTTGACTACAAGTGGTAAAAAAAAAAATTCTTTTGGCATAATCTTTCTGACACTAAGTAATTAAAAAGTCTTAAAGCTGCTTATATCTTATATATATGCCATATACACTTCAGCCTGATAATTCTACTTTCAGAAATGTATCCCAACTCATCAGGTAAGAAAATAACAACACTGCAGAACTGTTTACAACAGCACAACCTTGGACTTGGTAAATGCCACACCCACTGAAAGAGTTGGTGAAACACCTCACAGGTCTTCCAAACAATGGGCTATTACATGAAGGAATAAAAAGCATAATGTGAGTATAAATAGTTATCTGTGTATAGCATAAACATCTATGACAAAATAAACTATGTGCATC